AGCTCCATTCTTTTACAAATATAAAAGTATTTTATTAATGATGCAGCAATATATAATATCTCTTATAGATAGTTCTTAATGAAAATATAATCATGATTAGTATATATAATATAAATCATTAATAATTTTCTTAAAGCTCCTTTTTCTTCATCATTTTAATTAACAATCTACTATTTTAATAATCTAAGAATTCTTTTAATTTTTCTTACATAAAAATATAATTAATATATATAATTTACTATGTTGATGTGCAAATCTGGCTGCTAAATCACAAGATTAATCTTTTTTAAGATGTTTATCTTATTTAATTTATAATTCCCTTCTACTCTTTCTTTTATTAAATTTATCAAACTTATTAAACTTAATTTGATTAATTTTATTTTCCTTTGCAATTTATATCATTCCTTAGGCTTCTTCTCTCTATCTTGCTTCTTTCATTTTTTAAAGGGTTATTTATTAACCTAATTATACTAGCTTGTCTTTAATCATTTGTTTTCAAAGAGTATGCGGAGAATATAAGAGTATTTAAAGGATGAGTTTGATTAATATTTTTATAAAAAATAATTTAATCAAAAATTATAGAAAAAGAAAAAGATCTTATTTGTTCAAATGAATCATAAACTTCCAATTTATATGGTAGTTTGTGATAAAAGTTTAGAGAAGAATAAAAGACTTTTATGCAATGAATGTTTAGATAATCTAGAATCTAATCTAAATAATGCAATGAGTTTTAAAAAAGTTACTTGAAGAAAATCAAAAGAAGAAGGTAGAATCAGTAGAATAGGCTATTATAATGAATGTCAATTAGATCAATGAACTTAAAAGATCATTAGAGTAATTGAAATAATACATCAACTAATAATTAAATTAAGTCATTAATAATACAGAAGAATGGATTATATCTTTGTAATAAATTGGATAAAAAAATGTCAATTACAGTTTTCATGAAGAATGGAATAATCTAATTAATCAACTTAAAATTATAAATTTGATAGCAAACCTTTGTTTGCTTAAATTGACACAATTAATCATTCTTTGAATTAGAAGATAAATTAGAAACTTAATGAATTTAAATCATTTGAATTAACTAAGAAATGTGAATAATTATCAAATTTACTCAATATTAATATATAAACAGACTTAATCAAATAAATTAATATCAATATAGAATAATAATAACTTATTGAAATCCTACAATAACATTATTTGAGCTTGAGTTTAAGTTAATTGATGATATCAATAAATAGACTTTCCCTTGTTATTCAATAGTATTTAATAAAACTGGATCAATTATGATATCAAATAATAAGAGTACTATTAAAGTTTGGAATTTTACATAAGGAAGGTTATAATTATCAAATCAATTTCATGTACATAAAGATTTTGTTTAATGCCTAGTTTATAGTAAACAAATGGATTGCTTTATTTCTGGATCCTGGGATAAATCAATAATCTGTTGGAAATAGATAAGTTAAAATGAATGGAAGTGGTCACAACCATACGAATAACATATTGATTGGGTTACATGTTTAACATTAAATAAACAAGAAGATCAACTTAGTTCTGATAAATCAATTAACATATGGAATGTAGATTTTATAAAGAATGAACTAACTTATCTTTATTCTTTAGATAATACTGCTATTGTATATTCATTAAGTCTTAATTAATCTGAGACTATGTTTGCAACATGCGCTTATTATGATTATTTAATATGGTAGAAAGGAGTAGAAGAGAAATGGGAGTTAAAATGTAAATAATCTGTTACTTCAGGATGCAAAATATATTTTATAAATGATCAATAATTTATGTGGGTAACTAAAGACAAGAATATAGATTAAATTTTGATTTTTGAATTGTAAGATGGAGTCTTTGAATAGAACGAAGATAAAACCATTCAATTAAATAAGAATGAATTATGTGACGCTTATTGGATGAACTTCCCAATTATATATAATAATGATAAAAGCTATTGGTTAAGCATAAACATCATATTTATATTATTTGCAAAGTAAATCAAGGTAACTTTAAGATTATAGGATCATTAAAATGTGAAATTGATCAGATTTATGGGACAATGACAGATAATGCATAATATTTAGTATTTTGGGATAATAAATAAAATAAATATATAATCATATGAGTTATTAAATAAATGAAATTCCATTAATCTACTATTTATTATTCAATTTTGAATCAATCATTTTATCAAATCTTCTACTTTATGGAATATTTATGTGTATGAATGGAATATTGTAAGAAATAATTGTAGATGATCAAATTCCTTGTCATAAATAAGGAGGCCCAATATTTTCAAAGGCAAACGGAAATGAACTCTGGGTGCTCTTATTAGAAAAAGCTTATGCCAAGATATATGGATCTTATCATAAAATAGATTCTGGTTTGGCAAGCTGTGCATTAAAAGATTTAACTGGGGCTCCGAGTGAATATTTTATCAACAAAACAGAATCCTTCAATGATGCTGATTTATGTTGGGAGTTCTTGGAGAAAAATGACAAATAAAAATATATTCTTACAGCATCTTCGGAAACAAATGAAAAAGGAGTAGAAATAGATAATGGAGGTGGGATAGTATCTCAACATTGTTATGCAATTTTAGATTTATAAACTGTAATTGGAAGTGATGGATAGCAAGATAGAATAATAAAGATAAGAAATGTATAAAATTTAATGTAAATTGAATAGCCTTGGGGAAGAAAAGAATGGACAAAAGACTGGAGTGATAATTCTAAAAAGTGGACGCCTGAATTAAGAAGGAGGTTATAAGTTCAGAAGAAAGATGATGGGATATTTTGGATGAGT